TGCTGCAACGGTGCACGGTGGGATTTCAGTCGACCGATCTGCATACGCTCAGACTCTGGCAAGGCCCTCCCCCCTCACCTTCCTTCTCCTGCCCATAGCACATCGCTCGTCTCGAGAAGGTTACGCGATGTGCTTCTTGAGGATTCTCAGATCTGGCAGCTGGATAACACATTGTACCCAGCGATCGCGCACCGCTCTGGGGAACAGCGTACCACCACTTGTGGGCGGACAGTCATACAATACGGATCTCGGAGCCTCATAGCCCTCGACGTCTGCGCTTGTCTTCTCCGCGGCCTACATTCCTTCTACTCTCGTCTCGTGAACATCAAGCTCAGGCTGCCCTCGTCAGGCGACCGCAGGCTGGCGACCGAGCTCCGAAAATTCCTTCGCGAGAACAGGGGTCGCGCGAACAGCCCTCTGCGTAGCTTTGACCTGGAGGCTCTAGACCCAGATCCGCTTCACGCTCGGGAAGGCCGGCGCCGGCGTATGGCGGCCATTGAGAGCGTGAACCTGAGCAAATGCCGGGTTTCTAACTGCAACGTTTTCTACTTCTCAAAGACGTTGATCTCCCTTTACCTCCATCAAGGTCCTGGTACCTCCATGGTCTTTGGATCGTCGCTGTCCCTCGGTCTCATAGCGTGCGCCTCCACAATCGAGTATCTGACGATTGACATCGCCGGCGGCTTCCTTGCCGATATCGAGGGCACCATCACCTTCCTTAAACTTCGCTACTTCCGACTTTGCACCGACCCCCTATTCGGAGCCCTCCTGCTCGGCAGGCTCGTTCTACCCTACGCACTGGACTTGCATCTCGAGCAGGTCGAGTCCTGGAGAGCGCGCTTTACCGCAAAGCACCCGGGAATATACGAGGTCCCCTTCTGGCCTTCCGAGTATGCCCCGGAATATTTCGACTGCGAATGGAGGCGGCCGCAGACGTTTGCTCAAGATCTAGCACAGCCCCATCGCACCCGTATGATCCACTGCGCCCACCCGGCAGATCACCCAGCGAGCCCAGGCGACCCTGCCGAGCCGCTTTGGCATAGCTCAACGAGGGTGATGGGGCTAGACGTACGAATTGATCCAAACACCGCGCCCTCCAGCCCGGCGGCAGCTCGGTTCCCTGAGCTGATCAGCGTCACTTTGGCGGCGTCAGTTGATGAACTTCGACCGGTTTTGGAGGACCCGGTGGGCAGGGATGCCGCTGGGAGTTTGGAGCTCAGCGATAAGCTCAGCGCAAGGCGATCCCTCACTTTTAGGGACAATCAACTGCACGGGCCAGACCGCGAGCGCGACTTCAATAGTCAGTATCCGAAGGCCTTGTACGATGCGGTCCAATACGTGCTTGGCCTAGTCCCCGACGCGTGGGCGCCCACCTCCGAACAGCGAGTCAAGGAGTTTGTGTTCGCGAAGGATAGCTGGCTTCCAGATCGCTCTTTGGGATACCAGCACATCCTAGGGAGATTCACCTCTCTAAGGGTGCTACATTTCGACAGCCCTTTGCTTGCCCACGCAACGCGATTCAAGCAGAACTTGGAGGGATGCATGGCCTTTGAGCATCTCGATGCCCTTGCGTTAGCTCTCAATATTGCAGGCACCGGCGGCGTTTATCTTTGTCCATTGTTGGAAAGTATTCGTTTGCAGGCCCCGCTCAACAGGTTGCAGAGCTCGGTCGGTCAAGGCAACTGGGATGAGAGGCTGAATTCACCAGGTCGTCTTGCATCTGGCGCTCGAAGAATTCTGGTAACCTCTGTCTGAATGTGAATGATTCCTGTAAGAGCGATCTTACGGAACGTCTGATCATTCAGGCGCTTCTCCGCTTATTGTCTGTAGGGAATCGTGTGTACTTTCGTAATCTGTAGACGCATATGCAAGAATTGCGCGGTCAGGGAACCCCAGGTTTGAATCTTAGTGGAAGCCTCCGCAAGCATTCACCAAGCGCTATGACCTTATGAGCTCTGGTGATTTGTTAAGCCTCGGCTGTGTTGGATTGCAGAGCGAGTACTGTATGTTAAGAAGACATCCACGGCCACAAGGTGTACTGGTTTTGTGATCGCCGCGGATCACAAAAACAGCTTGCGTTCGATTCGCATGGTAGCCGATGTGAAGACCAGCATGTCTGATTTTGCACGCTGTCCTCGGCAATTGCGGATTGCGTGCGTGCGGAGTCCGCGTTGAGCGTCACTGCGCTGTTTATTCGAGCTTAGTACAGACCTAGATGAGGGCGCATATATCGCCTGACGGTGACGAGAGCCACCAGCAGGCGTGACGCCGAACCCTCCGCTCTGGGCAAGCGCGGCATCACCAGGTATTAGCCACGCATCAACATTGATGCCGGGCTCCAGGAATCACCGCACTATCGCCGTGATGCATCGATTTCTTTCACGGCGGAGCCTCAGCACAGACGCCGGTCCAAGCATGTCAAAGCATGAGGTTTGTAATCAGCCTTCTAAACCAGGCATCGCGGAGGCCCGGTTGAGTTAGCTACCCACTATCAGTGACCAACGCTCATATGTATTGGTGCTTGCCGTCGCAGGGGTACCGAGAACGATAGCAAAGATTACATCCTTTCCCACAATGAAGTCGGTCATCAGTTGATCGAGGCAGGATGGACCTGCCATTGCGCAGTCTTGTCTCTCGTGGGAACGTAACTGATTCGCTAGATTGACTGCGATGTGAAGAATCTACTGCATATTGAACTTTCCACTCACCTCCGATGTCTGCAGTCGCCCAGCCTCTTCTAAGATCCGACAAGTTGCCAGCTGAGCTGATCTCGCTGATCATATACTATGCTCAGATCGCTTGGCATAACGAACACTTTGCTGCGCAAGCTCCATACACTGGGGTGAAGCGATATCGACTGGTTTCAGAAACCGGGTCTCAGTCTGTCCCGCCCTCTATCTCCCCATGCTGCAATGGTATGCATTGGGATTACGGCCGCCCGATTTGCATACGCTCAGACTCTGGCAAAGCCCTCCCCCCTCACCTTCCTTCTCCTGCCCATAGCGCATCGCTCGTCTCGAGAAAGTTACGCGATGCGCTTCTTGATGAATCTCGGATCTGGAAGCTGGATAACACGTTGTACCCAGCGATCGCGAAACTTTCTGGCGAACACCGGACGACCTCGAGTGGCCGCCAGGTTATACAATACGGATCTCGGAGCCTCATAGCCCTGGACGTCTGCACCTGCTTCCTGCTTAGCGTCCGGGCCTTCTACACCAGTCTGGAGCGCGTCAAGCTCAGGCTACCGTGGTCTGGTGATGGAACGCTGGGATCCGAATTGCAGCAGTTCCTTCGTGATACCAGAGGGGGCGCTGACAGCTGCCTGCGTCATGTCGATGTGGAGGCACTAGACGCTGATCCGCTTCACATTGAGGAAGACTTGCGCCGTCGTATGACCGCTATCGAGAGCACCGGGCTGCTCACCAGCCGTGCCTCCTGCAAATTGTTCTACTACTCGCGGACCCTCACTTCCCTTTATCTCCATCAAGGCCCTGGAGCCAGCACAGTTTTTGGGGCATCGCTATCGACTAGTCTCACAGCATGCTCCGGCACCCTCGAGTTCTTGACAATCGACATTGCCGCAGGCTTCGTCGCGGAGGTCCAGGGCAGCGTCACATTTCCCCGACTGCGCTACTTCCGACTTTGCACTCATCGCATCTGCGGGGCTGGGCTACTTCGTTGGATGGTGTTGCCATACGCAGTTGACCTGCATCTCGAGCCGGTAGTATACTGGCGAAAGTCGTTCACTGCAAAGCACCCCACGATATACGAAGTTCCCTTCTGGCCATCGCGGTATGCCCCGGAGGAGCGCTTCGAAGGCGAATGGAGGTGGATACAGAAGTTCGCCAAGACCTTGGATCAACCCCACCGGACCGCCGCCATCCACAGCGCAACACCGGACCATCATTTGACGTTTGGCGATCCAGCCGACGTACTCAGTCGGCGCTCGGCGACGGTGGTTGGGCTGGATGTGCGCATTGATCCCTCTACCAAGCCCCACGAGCCGGCGGCAGCGAAGTTCCCCGAGCTGGTCAGTCTGACTCTGGCGGAATCAGCCGCAGAGCTCAGGCCGGTCTTGCAGGACCCAGTCGGTCGTGATTGGGAGAGGAGTCAGGAGCTTGAAGGCAAGACTGCTGCCAGGCGATCCCTTACCTTCCGAGATGGGCAATTCTCTGGATATGACCGCGCTCGGGATTTCAACTCTCAGTATCCGAAGGCGTTATACGACACGTTGTATTACGTGATCCGTGCGCCGGTATCGTGGGCAATAGCTGCGCAGGAGCTTGTCCTTGCTAGGGACAGCTGGCTGCCGGATCGCTCTCTGGGCTATCAGCATATCCTAGTGAATTTCAACTCTATTCGGGCGCTGCATGTCGATAGTCCTGCGCTACCTCCGGGCGTCGAGTTCAAGCAGAACTTGGAGGGATGCTTCACTGCAGACCATCTGCAAGCGCTTGCCCTGAGCCTGAACATTCCGACCTCCGACGGCAGTTACATGTGTTCTGTTCTGGAACATATTCATCTACGCGTTCCCGAGGAGACCGTGATGAGCTGGGTAGTACCCAGTGAGTGGGATGCGATGCTGAATTCAGCTAGCCGTTTAGCCTCGCGGGCTAGGAGGATTAGGTTGAGTGCTGTTCAGGGTCAATAGTTATTGGGACTGTAACTTGAAACTTGTTTACGATGAAAATCTTGACTGAGGGCAGGCCAAGCGCCAGCCGGTGAGGCAACTCACTGGCGTCGACCAGTATGGGATGACGTCGCCGAAAGTACCGGTTGCTTTGAGACATGGCTGGCGAAGTATCTAGCGGCACATTGCGGGGATTGCAAGTAGCATCGGTCACATCACCAGCGCCGCCGGTTAGTTTTGGCTCAGTTCGCCGGGGCGTAAAACGCGATCCAGGTGTTGTCTTCTCCGACAGTGCACCCATCGGACATGCGCCGCTGAAAGATCACCAAATCTGACTACCGACCGCTCCCATTGGGACCAACGTTACATTCGCCAGGCTTCCCAACTGCCGGCATTCATGGTGGAACCAGCGGTGAAGTGCGCGACTTCATGCCTTTCTCGCTTCGATACATGGCACGGCGCTGCTGATGAGTCGCAAATCACCAGGCTGTCGAATCAACGCTTCGTCGCGGATCTTCTGGGGTGAGCACCGGAATGAGGGGTAGTCCCGGCATTTCGAAAATGAAAAGAAACAAAAACTGTCTCTTCAAATACATATGCAGGCGGTCAACCAGACCTCTGATAGCCGTGGGCTAAAATCAACCAACAAGTAGAGGACAATGTGGGGTCGGGAATTGAACCCGTCACGGTTGTGAATGCAATGATAACATAACCGTTCAGCCACGAACCCATAAGCATTTGCTAGGAGGGCTTTGTCACGTACAGTCTGGATGCGCACTGGCTCGTGGCTGACAGCTATACCCCGAAGTTCAGTTTATAACTTCGTGCACTAGTGATGACGGTATGTGCATCGTCAATCTCGGTCCAGTCTTAGTTAACCAACGCATTCGCTGCATACACAGGTTTGTCGCTTGATGAAGACGTATCGAACGCGTAGGGGCAGCCAAACCCATGAAGGATCTTGCCAGGATATATGATAGCGTGATAGTCGATAGGGGTATCATTTCGCTTGTAAGAGGACATGACAATGCCTAAATTGTCAAGTGCGGAAAGGGGACAGCTTCCAAACTAACCAAGGTCTCAACCGACGCAAGGTGAAGAACATCAGATGGCCACCATGCGAGTCGAACGCGTTTTACGGTTTGCGTGGAAACGCCATGTCGAGGCACCATTATGACAGGACTTGAGATCTATGCAGCGGGAGGCATATCGCCAGGGTCGACGGGTCCTGTTGAGGCCAGTTCACCGAGTCGATTAAATGGATCACCTGGGCCAGATCCGAGATGCTTAGTTCACCAGTGACTGTGCCGCCGGCAGTCAAAGGCACCCGGGTGCTTGGCAGATCGCCAAAGAGCCTCGTAGCGTCGGTCATATCGCCAGCGGGAGAGCTTAAAGACTGCGAGCGCTTGACTTAATTAAGAGCATAACATGCGGTTCACCTAGCCATATCACCGGTGATTGAACTCGTCCCGGTGATAAAGAGGGTCACCGCGGATGCTCTTGGTGATGTTTGTGGGCATTCCGAGCAGGGTGTCATCACCAACGTTGAGGGAGAACAACCAGGCCCGGCGACCAGATCTCGGTCGGGACCGAGCCGGTGACTTAGAATTGCTTCACTAGCACCTAGCACCGACACCTGGCCGTCGTTGCTGCCGGGGTTAGTAGGCTTGCCCTGAGGAGGAGGGTGATTTCTGTCATTATCCCGTTCGGCCCGGCCTGCGGTGATTTCCAGAAATTGGCGGAGATAGCCGATTTCCGTTATCCCAATCTGATTTCGTAGTAATTTGCCTGTTACTTCTC